GTATTGGGTAGTATTGGGTCATAGTCACGGCAATTCGGTGATGTTTTCGGCACCAAATCGCATATTTCCCGATAAAATATGGCAGATGGAAGTAAATAACGTCTACAAAGGTGATATTTCACAGTAATAAAGAAGTATTTGGTTCATAACTGGGTTGTATGGGGTAGTATTGGGTAGTATTGGGTGGTATTGGGTAGTATTGGGTGGTATTGGGTAGTATTGGGTAGTATTGGGTAATTAGACGCGCCGATTGGCAACATGAAAAAAGTGGTTTTCATTTTACGATGGTAGTAATAGTAAATTCAGGCATATATATATAGTTTGTTGAAGTAAAATACTATCATACAGAATCATTCAGCATTTCACCCACCAGCCCAAGTTTCCTCTGGCTCTAATGTTAACACTGGTACCAGACTTGAGACAATTTGACAGACAGATGTCAAGTGTGGAGCCAGAGCGCACTACTATTTTTCTTTTCCTGCTACAGTGGTGCCTGTGACCAACATTTGTTTCAAGCATTTGGTGTATGCTTGGCAAGGGGATGGTGTCAGGTCGTTTCGGGACATTTTATTTTTCTTCTGTAGATACCATTGTCTTTTTTCTTTAAATATATTTTAATATCAACTACATTCATCCAATCGATTGGATAAAAGTTATTACAACTTATCATAGCCTTCTCCCATCATACATTTACCATTACATGATTTTAATAAACTAAGAATAAATATATATAATATTCATACAGACACAAATACACAACATCAATACATCATTCAAAATATATTGCTGGATTTGATGAATTTATTCACATGTCTAAAATATATTCCACGTTTTTACTTTCATGAAACTTAATTTCAATATAGCAAAAATAAATGCTTAAAACATTGTTCGAGTCAATGTTAACTCATTCGTCTTTTAATGTCAATAATGGAGGAAAGAGTGTAAAACATATTATTGCAATATCAAAACAGGAATTAACCTATCAATAACGAAAGAAATTGAATGTTGAATTTCATAAGTTCCTCTAGATCTGTATTTGATAACGAAATTAGTTTCACCACGTAACAACACACTGTCAATCGGGTAAATGTTGGTAGGTATCCCCTCAAGAACTAGCAATCTGGTAACACTAATGATCCCAAGCAAGGGTAAGTCGTGACACAGGTCATAGACTAAAACCATACTTGTATATTTACAGGACTTTTTATGAACGGGAGCAAAAAGTAATTTATAAGTGAAAATGTTATATGTCCCCAAACGACTTGATTAAGTCCTGAAACATCTTGTGTCATAACCACCTGTTACCGAAACGACTAGCATTCATGGGGATACCCGAACCTGGGTTGTAAATAGTCATGTCTTCGGGGGCAAAAACCTAGAACAATGAGGGAGGTATGTAGTGAAACTGGACGGGGTTGATCGTCGGCGACGGTAGAGAGTCCGTCTAGAGTTCAAAAGGTCCCGGGTCGAACCCGGTCATTTTCCCTCTCCTGTTACAAATGCATGAAATTCTCTGACACCATTAGTTTTGAGGTCCTGACAAAATATCCCACCTGAAGGACACATATCTAGAATTCCGGATTTGAAAAATATATATAACCAAATGGTGTCGGAGAATTCCACATTTTCATATTATAGTAGTGCACTCTGGCCCCAACACTAGACATTTTTCTCTCAGAATGTCTCAAGTCTGGTTGGAGCCAAAACTCCATAAAGTTCAAAGTGTAACTTTGCATTCGCACTTTTCAAACCTGATCTTGCTACGGCTCAAAGAGTAAATACTGGGATGAGCATTCATTCTGAAGGAGGGGAGTCAAAGAGATCCTACGGAAGACGGTGCAAATATTTCCACCCATCAAAATAATTTAAACAGCCACTTCGCACTTGCTTTGCATGTTTTTTTCAAGCTCAGTCAACCTTGTTGGCAGTTGTGATTTATTCAGTGGAAACATTTGCCATTATTCTGGAGATTTGACACATTTTCTTACATAAAGTCATCATTACCACATTATTCATTTTTGTTCTAGTTCTACCATTAAGTGACCACCTTCAACTAATCGAAGATTTTGTCACAAAGTTGGGTTTATGCAGCACAAATGACAGACTATATATATTACATAATAATTAATAAATAATCACTTAGTTAAAGTTAAGAGAAGGAGAATTTAGTTCGTGAAGAGTCCGAGAGAGAGGTCCGAGCCAGCCAGTGATTGGGCAGCCCCCATCGACAAAGCTTGATCGGAAAAGGGGGAAAAGAAGAGAAGTGGTGAATTATTATGTAAAGGCTGTTGAAGTAACTAATTACAATGCATCTTCAATTTTATAGGTGTGCCTGGAAAGGGATGTTTTGAAAGAGTTGAAAGTGGGTGCATTAACGATGTCCGTTGGTAATTTGTTCCAGTCTAGTATGGTACGAGGAAAAAATGATTGTTGTCTAGTTAGTGTTTTCAAGTATTGCTGTTGGTTTTGGACCTGATGGGAATTTCTAGGAATTCTTCTGGCTCGGTGCATCCTGTCAGTCGTGGATATGGCCACCGTGCCCTGATGTATTTTATAGAAAATCTTTAGGCGTGCATCTTTCCTACGATCTGACATGCTGCGCCAGCCAAGAGTACCAATCATATCTGTTACACTAGAGGTATTCCGAAAGCGATTTGAAACATAACAGACTCCTCTCCTATGGACCATTTCTATTTTGTTGATATCATTTTTGTGTACGGATCCCAAACAGAGCAAGCATATTCTAAAGAGGGTCTTACCAAGGATTTGTAAGCCTGTTCTTTAAATGTTGTTCTGCTAATTTTTAGGTTTCTTCTGAGAAATCCTAGAGTAGAATTTGCCTTGTTGCAAATCTGATCTACATGAGAGTCCCATTTCAAATCTGATCTGTGGGTTACACCTAGGTAAATCATGTCTATCCATCGGAACTTTCGTTTCTAATTAATTTGTTGACAACAATTCCAGTAGAGAAGAAGTTTACATTATGAACAGGCAGATGGATTTACAAGGTAAGTATTCCGAGATCTATCACTTCTCAACGATTTATCAACATAACATTATGTATCGAGTGTGGCTCGATGATTGTGGGTTGTTCCCGTAAAAATCCTCAGAATTACGAAAGGCTGTTTAAGCTTAATCAAATAATTGCTTCATTATTTATTTCAGAGCGGAGAAAACATTGCAATTATCGTTGAATTCCAAGGAAAACGCTGCAAATTATGATTCTTACCATTTTCGGTCGATTACCGGAACTAGGAACCCTCCCCTTTTCGCACATGCGTAACAATAATATCCGGATTTGACAAATCTTCCTAGTTATTAAAGCGTTTAGCTTTTAGAAATTTTTCGGGGGTGGGAACAAGCTTCTCATACACCTAGAAAATATCAACACAACGTGCATGGGCAGTCGATAAGCATGGAAAACAGAATACATGATTCCAGGACAAGAGTGACACTCCTCGAACACGGATTAGAAAATGTAAACAACTTTTATGCGAAACCGGGAGATCCCGAGAGAAGGGAATTACCATTCCGTGTTGTTTTAGCTGTCAATCATCTCCAGACATCACGTCTATGTCGGGTTACAGACATTTATTTTTAAGATATTTCATACAAGCTTATGTCAGTGTTTATGGTATGTGATGGGCTCATAACTTTTCCTCAAAATGAGAACAAAATATAGAAGTTGTTTCGCATACCCATGTCAATAATGACCTTTGCAAAATTATTTAAGGAAAAATTTGTTGATTTTTTCTGAAAAGTAACTTTTAAATACAGAATTTGAGTGGCGCAAAATTGCATTGAATATAATAATTCATGAAAAAACTAACCTGTACATAATTCCTGAAGTGTCCGTGCAGGTATTCACTAGTATCGACAGAAATGCACCACATATAACATAATCGAACATATACAAAACCTACAACATAACTAACAGGTCCAGTGCACTCTGCTGATTGAGCTATATAGCTATAAATACCTATATAGCTGTATACACCTATAAATTATAGCTGTATTGAGCTATATTTTCTCAGATTTCAAATTTCATTAAATTAAAGCAAAGTCGCATAAAACAATAAGGTTTATGGTAATGTTGACTACAAAGAGCATACAGTTAGATGTGTTTTTTTCATTTTTCATAGATGTAAAATTTCCGATTTTTTACATCATTATTTTTTAAAAAGAATACTTATATTTAATGTCTTTTGTTATCAACCTAATGATACAATCTTCTTTTAAAAGCGACTTTGTTTCGTTTTCTTTAAAAAAGAAAATCACTTGAAAATAGCTCAAAATACCTATTTCAGATAGGTCAATAGAGCTATTATAGGTCTTTACAGCTATATAGCTCAATCGGCAGAGTGTACTGGACCTGACTAACACTCGCTCACTGCTTTTAACCTGTTTTTATCCTATATCAAATAACAAAAATTAAAAAATCACTGTACATAATAATTAACCCACAACAGCACAAGACCGACTTCTGTAATCGTCGGTATCGACGGAGGAAGTAAAAAAGATGAAGATGAAGAAATGTAAGAAATTCATGAAGCTAACAAGGCTATTGATACAAGTCAAGCCAGATTACCTGAGTAAGAACCTGGGGCCTGTTTGTTTATGCAGAACAACTGGTACGCCCTTTTTAAATGTGACGTTTCGGGTATAAATCCTGGTGGACCTGCACATGTTTATGCAAGGCCTGTTAAGGCTCGCCTGAAATTGGCATCAAAATACTGAGAGAATTTGACACATTTTCTAACAAAAAGTCAAAGTCATCATTACCACATTATTCATTTTTGTGCAATCATTTTTTATATATAACTGAACCTTTGTCTTCCGAAAAGTACCTAGCTATAGGTGCTTGTTATCAGCACATGGTTTGTCACACTGAGCGGTTGTCCGATGCCGAAAGCCGGTTATACCATTCAAAATCAAATAAACGAGAGTTGAAATACATTATGTATTACCAATCACTCAACTTTCACTGTCTTAAAAAGTGATTTTTAGTCACCCAGAGATTATGTCTCAGTTGACCTATTGTCATTTGTCTGTGTGTCCATTAACAATTCACGTTTTTACCTCTTCTCCAAAATCACAACCAATTAAAAAATAAATTTGAGGAAGGTTTCATGGTGAAAAGAAAACCTAAGTTGTGAATTATATGGATCTTACCCGCCATGGGCTGCAGAGGCAGGCCCAAAAGGGTTAAATTGGCTAAGGGGGGGGGGTTTCCAAAATGGCCCGTCCTTTGATTTCAATTTTCTTTTGGTGAGGTGTAGACCTTAACATTATCACAACAAAAACACCACCTAAAATTCAAATGAGTACTTGGTTCATTTTTAGTAGAAGCATAAAACTGAAATTCTCAAAAAGCCAGAGTTTATTTCCCAAAAGATGAATGTTGTCAAACTAACAATACATTGAAGGATCATTTATGATGCAACCAAAACTAAGGATTAAATGCTACAGATTATATGTAAAAATATCTTGCTATGGTGAGTTTTCATATATTTACAGACAAATCAACAGCCAGAAGCTATCTCAAGCAATGCTATTTTCCAAACAAAAAATGTTTTCATCTTGGAATAAAAGTATCCTATAACTTTTGTAAACCAATATATTTTGATTATAGAAATACAAGGTCATGAACTACCTGTGATAAAAACATAAATCCAAAATATGTGGTGGAACATATTCAAAGCAGGTATCAAATGACCATATGGTCTATACATCAGAATTCATGGCTATGTGTATAGTCTAAGTAATTATGACTGAAAACTGACAGAAAAGAAGAAAATATTTGTTCCAGTTTAGATGGAATGAATATTTAATCAACAGAGAACATGTTTGGGAAAGATTCGCTGGTTTATTCCTTTTTAAGATGACCACCAAAACATTCTTTCTAGTGCCTTATCCCTTGTCAGATCCCAGACAACTAACTTTCTTGCAATACCAATGGAATTCAGAGATTGTATGTTTGTTTGTTACTTATATATTAGAGTAAGACACTATATTAACAGCTGATGACATTTACAGATAATGTTTTGCAAGATGCAAGAGTATGAAATGTGTTTGAATGGCAGACTTGGACTACAACTGTTTTGGATTTTGAAGATTGCTATGATAGCCAAGATATATAAAGTATACTTGATGGATAAGCACACATTTTCATAGTTCTTTGACCAACTGGCCATTGGCAGTAGTAATCTTTTATGGGATTACATTGTATTATCATTTGGTGTCGTGAATTCAAACATTATATTTAGTCTGGCTTTTGTGTCTGGAACAAATCTGACAACGGATGAGGTTTTAAGATTGCTGATTCACCCATATTTCATAATCTTTACGAATTCTGACTTTGCTCTCTTGGAGAGAGCTGGTTTTTTAGCTCACCTGGCACGAAGTGCCAAGTGAGCTTATGCCGTGGTGCGGCGTCCGTCGTCCGTCCGTCCGGCGTCCGGCGTCAATATTTTACTTTAAACGACTTCTTCTTAATAACTGAAAGGCCTAGGGTGATGATATTTGGCCAGAAACAAACTGGGATGAAGGGCTACCAAGTTTGTTCAAATAAATGACCTTAATCTATTTTCAAGGTCACAGGGGTCAAATATGTTAAAAACTTTAAACAACTTCTTCTCAATAACCAAACTGCCCAGGGAGATGATATTTGGTCAGTAGCATGCTAGGGTGAAGGGCTACCAAGTTTGTTCAAATGAATGACCTTCAATTATATTCAAGGTCACAGGGGTCAATTGTCTTAAAAAACCTTTAAATAACTTCTTCTGAATAACCAAAATGCCCAGGGTGATGATATTTGGCCAGTAGCATGCTGAGATGAAGGGCTACAAAGTTTGTTCAAAT